AGAACACGTGCAGAGGATGGGAGGCAAGTCTCTCCATCCTCACTTCCAGGGAGCTTTCAGCGGTTTCCATGACAGGTATACTTATTCTTCTAGCAGTCCAGGGAAATTCGAATATTCTTCACCAACACCATAATTCAAAATCAAATGATTGCTCAGTCTTCCTTCATTTGTTAGTAGGAAAATGCACATCAAAATGATTTTCCAGAAAAACAAAACATAACAAGGGTTGAAGATGTAGAGAAATCAGAACCCTCCGTGGTTGTTAGTGGGACTGTGAAATAGTGCAACTACTTTGGAAAACAAGATTTTCCTCAAAAAGTTGCCTTCTTGTTAGGTGCCATCGAATCAGCTCCAACCCATAGCAATTCTATGCCCAACAGAATAAAACACTGCACATCCGGTGCCTATATATTGTTGCAACCGTGGTGTCCATACATCTCATAAGATCCCTTCCACTTTACCCAGCATGATCTCCTTCTCCCGGAACTGGTCTCTCCTGACAATGTGTCCAAAGTGTGTGAGATGAAGTCTTGCCATCCTTGCCTCTAAGGAGTACGCTGGCCATACTTCTTTCAAGACAGGTTGGTTTGTCTTTTTAGCAGCCCATAGTCCTTTCAATATTCTTCTCCAGCACCACAGTTCAAGTGAATTGATTCTTCTATGGTCTTCTTTAGTCAATATCCAACTTTCACATGCATATATGAGGCAATGGAAATACCATTGCTTGAGTAAGGCGCTTAGTCCTCAAAGTAACATCCTTGTTTTTCAATACTCTAAAGAATTAGATATGACTACAACTATAAAGAGCCTACCCGTGAGCTAGCAGATTTACCTAATGCAACTCATCTTTTGATCTCTTGACGGCTACTTCCATAACCATTGATTGTGGATCTAAGCAAGAAAAAATCTTGACAACTTCAACCTTTTCTCCATTTATCACGTTACCTATTGGTCCAGTTGTGAGGATTTTAGTTTTCTTTCCATTGAGTTTTAATCCACACTGAACGCTCCTTGATTTTCATCAGCAAGTGCTTCAAGACCTCCTCACTTTCAGCAAGCTAAGTTGTGTCATCTGCAAGTTATTAATAAGCCCTCCTCCGATCTTAATGCCACATTCTTCATACAACCCAGCTTCTCTGAGGTCTTGCTCTGCATACAGCTTGAACCAGACTGTATGGTGGGAGGACACAACCCTGAAGCACACTTTTCCTGACTTTAAACCAGGCAGGGTCCCCTTGTTCTGTTTGCAAAACTGTATCTTGATCCATGAACAAGTTCCTCACGAGCACAATGAAATGTTCTGGAATTTCCATGCCTCCCAAGGCTATCTATAGTTTATTATGGTCCGCAAGTCAAAATACCTTTGTATAGTTAAAAAAAAGAAAAAATTTACCATGTGACTCAGCAATTCCTCTGAAATAGATACTTGTATACTAATGTTCATGGCAACATTAGTTTCAATTGCCAAAAGTTTGAAACAACCCAAATGACAATCAACAAATGAATGTATATTTTTAATGTGTTATACACAATGGAATATTATACAACCACAAGGAAAAATGAAATTCTCATACATGAAGGAACCTTGAAAACATTATGCTGAGTGGAATAGGTTAGTCATGAATAAATAAATATTGTATGATTTCACATGTATAAAATACCTAGGACAGACAAATGTAGAAAATGTCATGGGTTGAATTGTGTCACCCTAAAATCTGTGCCAACTTGGTTAGACCATAGTTCCTCTGTCTGTATTTGAGGTAATTATCCTATATGGTGTGAGTCCTAAGCTCGTATGATGTGGATGTAATGCCTGTGATAGGTTTTGTGTCGGGTTGGTCCAGGGTGTATGGGTGTATGGATCCAACCTCTCAACAGAACTGGGCCTGATGATGTCTCCTAGGGGATGTGTATGTGAGGGTATGAGTGGGTTTCATTGCTTAGCAGACACTGAACTGCTGGGCCAAGTAAGACATACACTGTAATCCATTTTCCCAGAATTTTCTTCAAAAATGTGTGTTAATATCGCTGCATCCTCACCTAGAAAGTAGGTGAGGAGTGGGGCAGGGGACAGGAGGTGGGGTGGGGGCAGGTATGAGCCACGTCCAAACCAATAGCTTCAAGTAGAGGATGTGGCCATTCCGCACTGATAGCAGGCATGGCTCCCCGTGTTCCCTCTGTGCTGAAAGCTGCTGGGACTGACCCTTCACTCTGCCTGAGGTTTTTGCCTCTACAGAAAGTGTGCTTGGCCAGCTGGAAGGGCCCAGAAATTAATGCCCCCAGTCCCACTAGCTTTCAATTAGCAAGGGAGTCACTAGACAAGTGTATTCCTATGTCTTCCAGTGGGATGCCAAGGAACATTCTATCCAGTCTCCCAAACGTTCCCAGTGGGATTAAGCTCCAATTACCCACAGCAGTAAACTTCCTTGACTGTTTCCATTTATGGACTGTCTTCCCTTTCTTGTCACAACTTCCCAACCCATACAGATGTTTCCTGGGATCACCATTTCCTTGAACTTGAATCCTGGTATCAGGATTTGCTTTTATGTCAACTAAAACCCACTGAGACCCAGCTTCAACCTTGCACGTTTATAATGCCCTAGGGCATGGCAGGAAAACACAAGGAAAGAAATCTATGTCTCAAAAGAAAGAAACCATTTTTCCTCATCTTGAAACAGAATGTGTTGGGAATCTTGTTATAGCAGCTTTCCTTTGTCTTGACTAGTATGTTGTTCAACTCCCACTTCCTCTTCTGGTCACAGCGCCCTGGTTTTCTTCTAGGGGGCCATCTTTCCCCATGCCCAAGGCAGAGACCTATCCAACTGGTTGCCTTCATTATTCACTCCACCCCTGACTCGGAGGAAACAGGAGCTTAGAACTGGGCTGAACCAACACATTATCACATCTCTCCCAGAGCTTCATGATTGATTCTGAGGTGGGCCTGAATTAGACGGATCAGAGACCCAGGGCATCAGTCCAACATTTTGAGTTGAAAGAGAAATCCTCCTATTGTGTTGCTATACTGTGTGATATCAATCCCAAGCCGGGGGTGGCCATCCTGCCTCCTCCTGAGCCTGCTTGAGAAAGAAGCCAGTAACTAAGCTAAAAGACACAGAGAAAGGTGAGAGAGGATGATGACATTGTTTAAGGGTCCCAGGCATACCTGAAGGTAGCTTACCCTACACTTTTCGGATAATATATTCCCTTCTCTGTTCAATCCATTTTAAACTAGGTTCCTGTTACTAGCAACTCAGAATACTGTAATGGAAGTCTGGCTCCAAATAGCATATCAGATGGGTCATACATAATTCGCTGTGCCAGGTGATTCTCTGAATGACCTGGATAACCTAAAAGGAAGTAAGACAGTTGCCTACTGGCCTCTCTCTCCTCTATCAAGTGCTAGGAGAGGCCACACAATTGAAGTTCCCAGTTGAAGCCTATGTCCAGATGGGCACTGGTTGTTTGCTGCCAGCAGCCCCACTGTACAGCTGAGCTCCCCGCCCCACCCCACTCCTGCTGATTCCTGCATGTGGTCATTTAGATCACGTATGCTTCAGCCTTACCTAAGTACCAAAGTGTCCAGTGCAGCCCTAAACTCCCTCCTCAGAGGAACTCTCATGGGAAGGCCCTCCAGAGCTGCTTTCCTCTCTGCTTGTTGCTCGTTCAGTCCAAGGCCAACTTGACATCCTGTTCTTTCCTTCTGAAAGGGTAATATTGAGAGAGAGAATAGAGTTTGGGATTTCTGGCCTCTTTTACCAACTACTAGCCTCTGCTTTGGGATTCTCTCATCTGTTCATGGGCACTGTGATGCTGACGCCCAGGAATAGGTCTACATTTCTCCAAAGAACATCTATCCATCAAGGGGTGCTCGGCCGAGCACCACACACATCGTAAGCGCTGGAGAGAAATGTGTGTTTGCTTCCTTTGTTCCAAAAGGAAATTGCTGATTCAGAAATGAAAAAAATGTTAACTCAAGGTACAGGGTATGCCACTTAAAATATCAAGATTGGGGTTGAAATGGTTATCCACATAGCAAATACATACTGTAAGACAGGAAGAGATGGAATATCGAGAGAAGGAGAGGAACAGGAAGGGAGGGAGGAGGGAAAGGGCATAGGGAAATGGTCTCATTTTTCAAACATGTCCTTAGAGCTGGGAGGGGAGCCACCCCCAAACAGGATTCTTTTGATCTTCCAGTGTGGAAATGAAGTGCTGGGAGCAAGGGGCAGGGACTAAAGGACTCCTGGTGGAGTTGACCACTATGTCCACCTCAGGCAGCAGCTCACAAACAGTTAAGTCCCTCTCCTGACTGTGGTGCCTTCTTGAGGGTTCTAAGCCCTTCTTGGTGCCCTTGCAGCAAGGGAAGAACCATGGAAACAACTTCCCCAAACCCTCTGCCCTCTTTTGAACTCACATCAGGCCTTACTGTTAACCTCGACCCCTCTGGTGACAGGCCTCCAAAGTAAGGAGGTCCACGTGGCCAAAGGTCACTGCTCTTGGCCATCAAGCACCAGGAAGGGAATCCCTGACACTACTGTCCATCTTGCCGGGGGCCCTTTGTACATCAATGAACATTCCACACACCCCCATTGAATGCTGTACATCCAGCAAGGCTTCAAGCAAGGCAAATTATCCTGCAGGGACTCCAGAGGCATAAAAAGGGACCAGAGAGTTGATTTACCTATTTTTATTTGAAGAATCCACCAGGCTGACCCAAGGCATCTCTGCCTGTTGGCCTGCATTCTTTTATCTTCCTATATTGTTTGCTTATTTGCTCTACCCAGTGCTCAAAATATGCCTCTTCAGAGCCATCTCCTAATACAAAATCATCAAAATCCCCGACAACTGGAAGTCAAACATCACACAACCAACCCTGAACAGGCCAACACTCTCCCATTTTGTTTTATTGGGTTTTTTAAAGTTAAGTTTCACAAGAACATTTCAGTTCTTAAAATAACTTCTGTAAACTCTTGCAGAATAACGAAGTTCACGTTCCTTGCTTGAGTAGCATTTCAAGTGGAAATACTTTTATTTCAAGACACCATAAAATGATGGCGTCCCTTCAGAACACCTCTGCTTCCATGCCTGCATGGTGACCGTGGCTGTCAGCGTGTGGAAAATAAATGTCCATGCACTCACCAGTGGGAAGCCAAATGCAGCGGTGCTCACCAGGAGCTTGATGTCACTATTGTAACTGATAGTCCCAGAGTGGGTGCCCCAGTGAGGTCCCAAAAGACACAGAGAGAAAATGAAAAGATGCAGAGAAGTGGGAGTCCCGCAAAACTGAAACACCGTGTAAACTAGGCAGTGTTGACAAAACTCCCCTTCCCTTACTTCTCCTCCTCTTTCAGGTCGGCGTCCCTCTGCAATGTGGATGTCAGTTTGTTCTGCAAAATAGCTGCCAATTTTTTGGATGTCTTTTTGAGAAGTATGCTGCCCGGATGGGCACTGTTCACATGCAGGTAGAGGTCCTCTTGGGTGGGACTTGTGTAACCACAGTCTTCGCAGACGTAAAGCTTGTCCCGGCGCTGCTTGTAGGCATATTGCTGCTGCACCCCGTGGATCTTCTTCAGGTGGGACTCGAGGGAGCAGCGCTGAGTAAAGGCTTTGTTGCAAATGTCACATTTGTAGGGGCGGATGCCTGCAAGGACGAAGGTAGACATATCACTAGTTGACCAACAGTGAAGCCAGAATCTCTAACTATGGAGTCAGTAAAACTTATGTCCCAGTATCTGTGACAATGAGGAAAAGCCTAAAACAAGGCACAAATCATCTATACAGGAACGTAACAGTCACATGAGCAAATCATATGAAAATGGTTATGAATACAATTTTTAAAGGGTGCTGGATTTGGGAGGAAGACTTAAATTTTAATAAATCATTTTATTGGGAGCTCTCACACCTCTTATCACAATCCATACATACATCCATTGTGTCAAGCACATTTGTACATTTGTTGTCATCATCCTTTACAAAACATTTTCTTTCTATTTGAGCCCTTAGTATCAGCTCATTTTTCTTCCCTCCCATCCTCATGAACCCTTGATAAATGATAAATTATTATTACTTTCATATCTTACACCATCTGTTGTCTCCTTTCACCCATGTTTCTGTTGTTTGTTACCCAGTGGGTAGGGGAGGGGGTTATGCTTCAGTCATTGCGATCAGTTCCCTCTTTTTTCCCCTTTCCCCCCCACCTTCCCCTTACCCTAATGGTATCGCTACTCCCATTATTGTTCCTGAGGGGTTTATCTGACCTGGATTCCATGTGTCAAGAGCTATTATCTGTACCAGTGTACATGCTCTGGTCTGGCCGGATTTGTAATGTAGAACTAGGATCATAATAGTAGGTGGGAGGAAGCATTAAAGAACTAGACGAATGTTGTATGTTTCCTCGGTGCTATACTACACCCTTGCTGGCTTGTTCCTTCCTTGTGACCCTTCTGTGAGGGGATGTCCAATTGTCTACAGATGGACTTTAGGTTTCCACTCCACCCACCTCGTTTGCATTGATGTGATTGATTGTTTTGGGTCTTCTGATGCCTGAAGCCTGATCCTGTCGACACCTCATGATCACACAGGCTGGTGTGCTTCTTCCATGTGGGCTTTGTTGCTTCCCAGCTAGATGGATACTTGTTTATCTTCAAGCCTTTAAGACCCCAGGCCATATATCTTCTAATAGCGGGGCATCATCAGCTTTCTTCACCACATGTGCTTATATACCCATTTTGTCTTCAGTGAACATGCCGAGAAGGTGGGCATCACAGAATGCCAGGTTATTAGAACAAAGTGTTCTTGCATTGTGGGAGTACTTGAGTAGAGGCCCAATGTCTGCCTGCTACCTTAATACTTAACATATAAATATATGTACACATATCTATATCCCTATCATTATATATTAATATATTTACATATGTATATGCCTCTGTTTATACCTCTATAAATGTTCTTTGCCCTCTAGTTCTTTCCTCTATTTCCTTTTACTTTCCTCCTATCCCACTATCATGTTTGACCTTTGTTTGGCTCTCAGTAATTCCTCGTTGCACTTGATCAAACTCCACCTGGCATTCTATGCCCTGGGAGGAAGACTTTTATCCTTCCCACATTTATGCCTTCGTGTTTTAATGTGAAGGAGCCTGGGTGGTAAAGTAGATTATGTGTGGGGCTGCTGGCTAAAAGCTTAGCAACTGGAAGCCACTAGTCAGTCTGTGGGAGAAAGATGAGGCTTTATAATTCTGTAGCTATTTGCAGCCTCAGAAACCCAATAGGGTCACTATGAGTCAGAATTGACTCTCTGGCCGTGAGTTTGTTTTAATCTTATAGTGAGCAAATTAAAGTTCGTTTTTATTTTAGTTTGTGTTTTCAGGGAAACAGACACTGATATGAAGTCCACAGTGAAAGTCGTTTATTTGGTTATCTCAGTACACACCTGTAAGGAAATTCAGAAGCATGAAAAGGAATACAGATAACTTGGTGTTATCAAGCTCGTAACTGCTGTGGGTAACTGGAGCTCAGGCCTGCTGGGGAACTATGGGACACAGTATAGAACATACACCTCTGAGTTGTCCCACCCCTCAGAACTGATGTGTCTGTCTACCAGGTCCATCACTTATTGTTTGAGTGTTGATCCTGAGTGCCATTGAGTCCCCCTCCCTGGGACGTCTGGCCTTGCGCAAAGGAGGCTCCTTAGACAGAGTTGTAAGTGGGAAAGGAGACTCAATGGTATAATGGGTTATGTTAGATAGTCAGCAGTTTGAATCCACTAGCTGCTCCTTGGCAGGAAGATGAAAATTTATACTTTTATAAATAATTTATAAATAATTACAGTCTCGGAAACCCACAGGGACAGTTCTACCCTGTCCTATAGGGACACCGTGAGTATCTACCCTATGATAGAGAGAAACCCAGAAATGGTAAACATGATGTCCTGGGTGGGATACTGACAGCATCGGTCACAACTATGAATATATTTCTAAACAAGATCTTGGGCTAGCTTTGGAATATGGCTAATATTAGTGAGAGTCTTTGGGTGGTACAAAAGGTTAGCACGATTAACTGCTAACCGGAACATGAGAGATTCACGCCCGCCCACCTCTACTTCCCTCAACCTGGTCATTGAACATCCTAGGGAGCCCAGGCTGCTCGGATACACATGGGGCAGCTTGTGTCGAGTCAAGGCGATAAGCACCGGGTTCATCCCCGTGAGGCTTCCTTCTAGATGGACTGTGCTTTGGCACAGCACACAGTGGAGAGCTCCGCGTGTCAAGGCACAAGTGCTTTTTCCTTGTCATTAGACTGTCACAACTCTGTGGGGGTCGAAGCTCAGATACAGAAATATAACTGTAACCTACAGGGGGGTGGTATTAATTAATTCAGTGAGCAATATTTTATAAATTAGCTAGAACCTTTAGAATTGCCTAGTAGCTTATTAATGTCTTCTATCTTTCTCCTAAGCCTCATTGGGTCTGGGTTGGAATCTGGAATCTGTTTTTCAACAAACACCCCTATCCTGCTATTCGAACTGGTTTCACGGCGGCATCACTGAGGCTAGTTCTCGTCTGGAGTCATACAGGATCAGGTGAGTTTGTGGCTGAACGGAGACCACGGTCCACCTTCAACTCAGCATCTTCCACTGTGCAAGGCTATCCCTTCAGCAGGCCTGTGGCGAGGGCCTCACAAAGAGAAGGTTGGGCTTTCTGACAGAAAAAACGAGGTCAACTTGAAGCCTCACAGGACAGATTTTAAGGAGATGCCATCTTTGCACTTTAACAGATCTGATTGCGCATTTGCTATGGACAGCTACTGTAGTAAACGCTTCAGGGAAATAAGCAAACTTCAGGAACAATCATAGTGAGGTCTTTTCCTAAAGGAGGGGACAGTGCAGCACAAGCAGAGAAACCCTAGAGACAAGGAACTTCCTGCAGGGGGAACTTGAAATTGGAGGCGCCACCGGACCACCTTAAAATTGAGAAGACACAAGAACCCCCAAATCCCTGTACCAATTCCTGGGTACTAGGCCTGGGCCTGGGATAAGGAAGATGTATTCTTATTTTTACATCAAAAATTGTTTAAATATAAAAGTATAAAATGGAATAGAAAAGAACTTTTAGGTGAAAAAGAAAACATCCCTTTTCCGTCCATGCACCTCCCACTCCTAAATCCACTGCCTCGTCTTTTGTGAATTACTCGAGATTTCTGTACACACCCATACACACATATGCACATGTGTCTGTGTGAATAGATAGATGATTGCTATATAGATAGACAGAGATATGTAAATATATAAGATTACTCTGGGTGAGACATGAGCAGTAGGATTTTTAAAAGCTCCCGGGAAGAATCTAACAGGCCGTCAAACACGAGAATTCGTATTTGACGTAAAGCGCATAGAGCATGAGTTTTTCTGAAAGCATAATCAAGCTCTGGAGAGAAGGCCTGGAATGTGCATGTGAGTGTGTAGGGGAGGGGGGACGGGGTTGGTAATGTTTTCCACTGTGTCCCTTTCTGTGCTATTTGCGATCTCAGACCACGTATCAGTATTAATAATAGTACTTTAATATTAACAGTAACTATTTGGGCAGTTACTTTTCTCTTTGTAGCATTCCAGGGCTGGGATTAGAGTGGGCATATGCCTCAGTCATGAAATTTAAGGTGGCACCAAAAACTCAGCAGTCAAGAGAAACAATATTTTAATGAAATATAATAGAAATAAAAAATTAACGCAAACAATTCAGGATGAACAAAATATAACCATTTGAAATGAATTAACACAGGGTCCAACAGTGCCATGTGAAGACAAATCAGAGCTTGAGGTAAAAGAAGAAAGTGCACTCCAAGTAGATGTTCTTCTGTGTTTTCTATGTATTTATGTCTAGCGGGCCATTCTTCCACTACGGGGGCTTCCCTGAGGCTCTACCTTCTCCCACTGCCAAGATGGCCTCAAAGAAAGTTTGCTACACAAGGAGCCAAAGTTTATCAAGTTGCCAGGCTCTCTCATCCCTTGACAATGCATATTTATACCAGGAAATTAGCACTATTGCAGTGTGTGTGTGTACAAAGCAATTTTCTATTACATTAATTTATAGTATGTGGGAAACAGAAGGATTTCTCCCAAGTTGTCTCCCCCAAATATATGCCAAACTTAGCTGCTTGCGAGTGACTATACACTTGGAGGTCATCAGAAGTAGATCAGGGGTTATTCTCCCTAAGGGTTATCAGCCATCTACAGCAAGCAGTCACCACTGTTTATCCCACAACAAAACCCACTCCCTTCTGATTAGGATAGTAGTTGACTGTTTCCTTGTAGTAGACCCCAGAGAGGTAAAGCCCACCCAAGGGTGACCAAGGTTAGGCCGCCATCATGAATCTAGGGTTTGTCCTTCTTGTCACATGTATACCTCTAGTTCCACCCCTTCCTATCATGTGTATGTACACCCTTAGCTCATCCCCACCCTGTTATGCCTATGCCCATTATACATCCCCCTCCTATAATGTGTATGCCTATTGTATTGCCTCTTCCTGTGACGTGTGGTTACCTGCAATCACCCCCCCCCCAAGTAGATATAACCCTGGGTTATCAAGAAACAGGGTCCTCAAACCTCCTGCCAGGTCCCTGCCCCACCTTGCCTCAGCCCACGCTGT